GATTTCTGCTTCTTTTTTTTTCCTAGCCACATTGCACAGGTGAGCGAAATGGCCCATGGGCCTCTTGTTTATGCTTTTATTGTGGATTTAAAATCATTCAAATGGATTTTAAGTTTTTAAAAGTGTTCTGTATGAGAGCACATTCTAAACACATATCATACAAAAGTTCTTTAGAAACCTTCTATTCATAGAAGCTATCTATTTACTGCTTTACATCCAAAGTGACAAAATATACTATAAGGGATACCAAATCTGCAGTTTTATCTTTAATCAATTAGATTTTGTACCAATTTTACTCCTGAGATACCTGTAACTCCAGATTTTTCAAAGATCTATAGCATTATATTATTATGATTTTAGCGCACAGTTATGTTTTTAAAATATTTTCATGTTTGCTTTGTTTTTATCTTCAGGAAATAAAAAAGTATCTAAGGGAGTTCTGGAATGCTGTACCAGACGAGGATAGAAGTTGGTTAAGTGAGTCTCTGAATGATCGGGAATATGCAGTCGGTTTAAAGAAACTTAATGATAATACCAAGGAAATGCTGGATTCAATGAAAAAGTCCATAGTGGAACTATTTACAGATGAGAACAATACAAAAGTTGAATTGCCTTCTTCGTGGGCTCTAATGGAGCAGTTATTGTATGAAGGAGGCTGGAAGGTTTTGTCCCTGAGTGAAATCTGGAAGCTCAACTCATTTCTTCCCCATGAATACCAAATCAAAAGTGATGAAGAAATGTCAAAATTTTTAAAATGTTTTCATGACAGTGGCCTTCTTTTGAATTTTGAAGAAGTGGAATTGAAGGAACATGTTATACTAGACATTCAGTGGTTTGCTAATGCTTTCAGTAAAATAATTGCTGATGAAAACCACATCAATAAAGATTGTCAAACAAAATTAATCAAAGAGTGGAAATCCTTCAATAAAACAGGGGAACTTAAAGAAACAGTTATAGATGCTTTGTGGAAAGATGAACCCTCTTACTTGAAACATAAAAATGAAATTATGCCATATATGGAGAAACTTCAAATGCTGGTACCTTTGAATGCATTTGAGGCTGTATCAGTAGATAGCATGTCATGGTATGTCCCATGTATGAACAAAAAGCAGTTCAAAGCTGACTTCAGTGAAGATAAATGGGAATGTTCATCCATTTTGTGCTATCGATTCAGTTCCTTTGCTATGTTTGTGTTCTACAGACTAGTAGCATACTGCATAAGTTCTCTAAGATGGAGTGTTGCAAAAGATGAAGATAATGAAGGAAGTCCATGTCTTTATCAAACAGCGGCAGTGTTTGATCACAATGAACACACTGTTGTTGTTGGCATATGTAATGACGATATTCAGTTGCAAGTGCTGAGAATCAAATCATTGACCATAGACAAAGAAGTATCATATGAAATTGGAAACTCCATTGATAAAGGAATAGGAAAATTGACAGAAACATTTATTGGCACAAAGATATTCCTCAGAGGATTCAAATGTCAAAACATTGTTTGTAATGAGAATGATCTTTCTTTTACACTTTCAAGTGAGCTGTCCAAAATCAAGGCAAAAGAAATTCAGTGCAAGTGTCAACTTCGGGAGAAACATGTGATAAATGTACAAAAGACACAGGGATTCTGGGAAAAGGTAACAGTTATTAATCTTTATACTCCCTGTAAAACAATCGAAAAATCGATTTTTAGGACTTACATTGTCTGCCTGTCTGTTGGTATATATGTCCAGCCAATAACTTTGCAGGAAAAAAACACTTGCACATTTATTGTTTACAAGCTGAGGAATCATACTGATTTTGACCATATAAAAGATCAATGAATGAAAAAAATATTAAAGAGAGAGACATTTGAAGTTTATATTTTACACAGAGCATTCTATCAGGAATGTATTGATCTAAATATAAGGCCAATTGGTCAAGTTCAAGATCACTTCCAGAAATAATTTTTTAAAAATAAATTCAGTGTAACCATCACTGCATGAAAAGTCGGGTTTAATTTTACCTTAAATGTGATTTAAATGCTGCGATTATTTAATGTTTAAATGCATATTATAACATATTGTAGGATCGTAAATGTTAGAAAATAATTAGCATTTAATACGAGTTTAATAAAAAATTAAAAGAACAAATTTAATAAAGTTTGGAAAATTGTAAACTTACTAATACGTTCGGATTTTAGTCTGCCGTAAACAATTATTATACCTCAAATATACAAAACGTATAATTATTATTAAACATGGCCAGATAATTAAGTTTTACGGTCACATTAAATTTGTTCGTTTAATAAAATTTAACGGAGATCTTTACCTCATTATTTTTTGTTAAATTCACACTCTACTTTATAAAACCTCCAAATATAAAGTTATATACGGAGAATTGTAAACTTACTAATACGTGCATTTTTATTCTTTCATAAACTAATATTAAATCTCTTGTATATGTGATGAAAATGTACGGATTAAACCTTCCCATATAATTAAGATTTAAGGTTGTATTTGATGAAATTTAACATTATTATATCATTGCATATTTTTATTTTACATTTATTCCATCAATAATTTGTATGGTTTATAATTGTGTTTTTTTTTTGGGCAAGTATTTTACAATCTTACACAAATCCATTTCTCATTCAATTTTATTAGATGTTATCTCAATAGTGTACAAACAATGAGTTCTAACAAAGTACAAAATATTTCAAATTTAAGCCTAAAAGTCAGAAGTAAAAAATTTACAATCATGATTGTAGCTCAATTATAATGGAGTAAATTTCTACATACTAGTAGTAAGCAATATACTGAAGTCATTATAAATAATATTAGAATAGTATTGCATGTAAAATTCAAATCCGCAATAAATCAAAACACAACAGATAAAAAATGCAGTCATTCTGGACTCCAAAAGACAGCAAAATCTGACTGAAACTGCCCCTATTAAAACTTCTGCATGGGCTGTAAATGACTTTTAAATTTCCCACAATAAGTTATATCATACTTTGCAAAAAAAAAAAAATAAAAAGTTGCCAATAAAAGTTGTCCATTCTTTTTACATGTACATTTAAACAAGACACACTAAGCCACTAACAGAGAAGCCTCACTCGCCCACAAGCAACAGCAAAAGGATCGGTCAGAGACACCACCTTTCTCTTGCTTGGGTATCAAGATCTGCTACTTACTGCCAGCAAAGCTCTTTTAGACCACCCTTATATTGTTTCCCAAGTATTTCAACAATAGATGTCCATGCACTAATTATCCAAGTTCAACTTGAAAAATACTTAATGTTGACTATGAAAAATACAAGACCCAAAAAAATCCTTTACATGTATATCATCTGGTTATGTCAATTCAAATTAAGGAAATGTATCACAATTACACAAAACAATAGCAGCTTAAATTTGTTTACAATACATGTAGCTCATTTCTGTTCCAACTGCTAGGTTTATTGCTTGATGAATGTAATATAACATATCCTCAATAATCAACGTTACATTGGAATGCAAAACATTTCAATAGTGATATTTTCAACTTTGCTTTAAAATATCAAAAATGAGCTCTGAAACATGCAGATATAAAAGTCCTGTATAAACATATGTAAAAGTGTATTTAACAATTTTTTAAGCCTTAATTGCGATTCCATAACTCATAAACTATCTTACTTCAAATGGAAGGAAACAAATTAATATTTTACTCTTGCAATTCTTATTTATTTACTCTTGCAATATCAATTGTAATATTTATTAAAATCACAATTCTTCCCTTTTCTACTCAGAAATGTCTCTACCTCATTTGCCTATTCTATTTTTTACATCTTTGACTCACTAAGCCACTGACAGAGAAGCCTCACTCGCCCACAAGCAACAGCAAAAGGATCGGTCAGAGACGCCACCTTTCTCTTACTTGGGTATCAAGATCTGCAACTTACTGCCAGCAAAGCTCTTTCAGACTACCCTTGATCATGATTATCTTTTCCACAATAATGTCCATGCACTTATTATTTAAGTTAGACTTGTACATATATGTGATATATAAATCAAGATTAAAATGTATGTGATTGCAGACCAATAAATGTTTAAACAATAAAATACATAAAAGTTTTAATCTGTAATCAAGCATAAGAAAAAAACTTTCACTGTAAAAAATACAACACTAGGTATATTTTTCTTATCTAACATTGAATTTGTGCAAAACAGTAGCAACTCAGATATTTCATCTCTAATAGCCCATCTCTGTTCAATTAATACATCCATATGTTTGACTCTTTTAGATACTTTATTTGTCCTAGTTCTTCTTATGCTCTGCCTTTTAGAGTGCTTTGATTTGAGAATGGCACTTTTGGTGTCCTGTTCTTTGAAGACATTCACACATTCATCAGAATGCAACTTCAGCTTTCTAATTTCATAGATAGTATTATCTTTAGAATCATTTTTTGTACTATGAAGATGTAATCAATATTTAAAACTGCTTTTTCTTGCTTCTAATCTTCTCTTTATGCCAAGAAGTTTTCAGCTCTGGGGAAGCACACCTAACTCCTAATTTCTACAATAAACATAAAAATAAATACCCATTTGCCTATATATACATATTATATGTGTGCTTCCGGATTTATGCAATTGCATATATTAAATAGTAAAAACAAAATCTGAGTTGATTTTAAAATTATCATTTGACCTAGAGGAAGCACAGCTCAATTTTGCTTAATTAAAAATTTATAGAAGACTACAAAAGATATGCCATTTTTTTCAAATCTGGGTAATAAAGACAGATAATTATCTATAATTTCAAGCCAGCAAGCTACAGATTTCGAAGTGTGTAAATTTCGGTCTAATGATTTTGTTCACCATCTTTTTTTGGAGCATTTTACCTGCTTGACCTTGAACATGTTGAGGTGCCCTTTTCTCTGCTCCTCCACAGTAATTCTTTCATTTAGCAGCAAGATACTATGGATATGGTAAAAAGCTGTCATAAACAAAATATGAAAAATTAATAACAGGTGTGGCTCTCCATAGAAAGAATATTCAAAAAAGGAGAAAAAAATATACAAACGGGGTAAACTTATGACTAACATGATTACAGCAAGAAGATAACATTTTACACAAGGAAAAAAAATTCTCTGTGTCATCTAGTTAAGTGAAGTGCATAAAAAACATATAGTTATTTGTATAGATCAAATTTATAGACGACAAAATATGATACGAAACATACATAATGGTACCGTAGTCCGAGCAAATGGAATTTGAAAATTTACAAAGTTTAGGAAAATGCAAAGAACAGCATTTACAGCATTTATCATATTAAGACACACATATATATAGTTTCACAGCAGCAAGCTTCAGAATTTAGAAGTACATGTAAATTGGGGAATGGTGACTTTTTGCCATCTTTTTTTTTAGCAATTTACCAATGTATTTACCTGCTTGACCTCGAATATTTTGAGGCGTGCAGCCCTTTTCTTCGTGTTCCTCCACGATATTTTATTTAATGTAGCAGAAAGATACTATGGATAAAAAAAATAAGAAAAATTAAAAGCAGGTATGGCATCTTGTAGAAAAAATATACAAACAGATGTATTTATGATATAGAGCAAGTAGATAACATTCATACAATAATAAAATCCTCAAACTTTGTGATTTAATACATATTATGATATATATTATATTAAATTTAGAGACGAAAAAACATGATATCAAATGGGTGTACATACTCAGAACACATTGAATTTAAGAGTAAACTTAAATGCAAAGGTTAATTAGCATCTACAGCATTTAACATGCAAGTTATTGGGATAATGAACAAGTGATTTTACATAAAAGTATATATTAACAACTTACACTGTAGATAGCAAGTTTTTAAAGTGGACAACAAATGCAAACTTCCAGTAAATGATGGCAATCTCATACACAATACGTTGTACAACAAATGATTAGTTCGTACCTCATACTGGGTAGCCAAATATCTGGTCAAGTCACTTTCAGGAAGAGAGCCTCAGCAAGTTGAATAGTTCAATGTTGATCATTCCCATAGCTACTTCAAACTTTTCTGGCACAATTTCTGAAAGAAAAGATGTATCTTGCAGGGATTTTTATTCAAACTAGGAATAATTCTCATGAATGTTAAAATTTGAAAAGTTTATAGATGACCGACGAATACCAGACACAGAACATATAACTCTCTCAGGTCTTAAAATGGCTCAGGTGAGCTAAAATAAATCAATTCATGTGATTTTATTGATCTTATTAGCCGTTGTGTTAATCTTCATATTGTTTTTGTCATTTCTTGTGGGCATTTGGATTCCTGTAAATAATGCATGCATAATTGTGCATCAAAGAATGTGATAGCTATTTTTAATAATTCATGCTTACGTAATTAACGTAAATAAATTATGCATAGCTCAAAATCCATTGCTATTGTATTTTTAGGATAAGGAAAATACGAATATAAACCTCGTATTGTCTACTTGGTATATAGCATTTCAAGTTGTTGCAATATTTTTTTACTCTTATGCATAAAGATACAAGTTAATAAAACATTGTTTGTTTATTTTTGATAATAGAAAAATTGAGCGGTATGGTTCTCACCAATTTCACAATCTGTCTACATAGCCGGCGTTATAGGGAATCGTCTCAGGCACAGTCCACACTGCAACTATTTAAATAATCAAAATAAGTGCTCAATATATTCTTGAGTAGACATTAAGAAATAAATAAATAATTCATTACATTGTACACCACTCTCTGTAAATGCTGAACAGAGGAACATTTTAGTGACAAAAATTCTGAAACCAATCCCAAACGAGAAAATTCTGGTTAAAATCCATCTTTCGGTTAGAAGGTTAAAAGCGTTAAATAATTATTACAAAATGTAAATAGCGCTTGCCCAAACGTTTTTACTGCCAGGCATTTTATGTGTACAGCCCAGACTAAGGAACAGTAACATTATCAGTAGCAGAGGTAATTATTCATTCAAGGACACATGATAAAATTTTGTACATTGTTCATACCGCTAAAAAGGGTCGTAAATGTCTTCATCTTCTGTTAAAACATAAATTCCATCCAAAGTTTATCATGTTTCTCCTTTTCGAGTAACTCTCTTTCGCCCCTTCCTCCTGTACAACATCATGATCAAGTTCAACATGGCTGCGTGGAACTCTCCAAAAATTGAATTTCGGCGCGGTGTGTTGTTTTTAAATAAATTGCTTTTCGAGCCCGACTTCGATCCCGATGTAATTGTACTACAGTGGTAGTCGATAGAGAAAAAAACTGAGTTATATTCCACAGTTTTGAAAAATCTACATAAGGGTTAAATAAATAAAAATGAGAAATAAATAAATTAGAATGAATAGGGTGCCTAAATATTTTTTTTCCCCAAAAATGTTTCAACATAAGTTTACATTAGGTATAAATGAATTATTTATGACATATTCAAAATACCAAAAATGTACTTAAACTTTAAGTATAAGCATATTTACTTTTACATGTCGATATTCTTAAACGGGACGTATAATAATCTCAATTAAACTAAATTATTTTCGACGTATTTTGCATTAAATATGATTATACTTATTTGAAAACTGTATTTAATTATATCACAATATATCTCATGTAAAATTTACCGTTATACATAAATTAAATTCAATACAAGAAATTTACTGGAGTAAACGAATTTATTAAATTATATTAAACGCGACTTTTCATGCAGTGCATATCTTGTAAAATGGACCATTATTTGACTCAAAGATTTCTTACGACCCAAGAATGTGTCATGATTTGAACTTATTTTAAGGTTATTATGATGTTTACCTGAAAAAATAATTGGAAACTCAAAATGGACTGAAGAAATGTAGTTAGGTATATCTGTATAAATAATTGGAGACTCAAAATGGAATGAAGAAATGTAGTTAGGTATATCTGTATAAATAATTGGAGACTCAAAATGGAATGAAGAAATGTAGTTAGGTATATCTGTATACTTCAAACTAATCTTGCTTATAATCTCAAAATGTGTCATGACCTTGATCAAAGCACCAAGTTTCTTTCAGACCAGTGCAGAGTAGATGAACTGTATTGCAAAAGGTTAATGGATGTTTAATCTTTTACCAAAATTGTGCAATTAACTATCCGTTGTCTCGTGGTTCGGGTACAAGAGTTTTAGAAGCTCTGATGAGTACATTATGTTTCTCTCTAGATAAATCTTTCATTTCACTTCAATCCTAATTTTCCAAATTGATGTGATGTCACCAACTCAATGATATCTGATGGTAAATCAAAATTGTTTATATCCAATTTTCCTTTCTTGACCTACAACAGGGCCCTTTGTTATAATCACCTTGGAAAACAAACTGTACTTGCATTAGGGTTTAGGTTTGCTTAATATATGGGGAATCATCTTATAAATTTTAATCTTGGTTTATAATGTTTTTTCCTAAGCTGGCTCCATTAGATGAACTAAGATTGATTTTGTTTCAGACAAAGTTGGCTATTTCCAGCACTAAGTTTCGAGGTTAAGATTGGTTTATTATAATAGCTATGGTTTATTTTGTTTCAGAGAGAGACAATTGATTCCAGTACACCTGTGGCGTCTGGAAAAAACCTAGAAGGCCGGTCTAGATTTGCAAAACTTGGCATGGCTACAAATGATGTGTTGAATAAAGCATACAGAGATATTCTAGAATCAGAGATTCCTGCATCTGATATTGAGAACAAGGTGAATTTATTATCAAACAGAAAGAGGATGAATATGAAGCTGAATTCGGATCAAGAAGATCTCTTGATTAAAGCAAAAAATTCTGGATATGAGGAATTTGATATATCATTAACATACAAGTTGATAAGAAACATTTGTTCAACGATTCCTAAACCAACAAAAGGAAAATGGGGAGAAGATGCCAGCAACAGGAGAAGTGACCGTGGGTGATGATGTCGAAAGAATAAGGTTTATACGAAATAGATTGACTGCACATGTGAGTTCAGCCTCCATCTCTCAGAGAGAATTTGATGACACCTGGTTGACGATGTCAGATGTCTGCCAAAGACTGGAAACCTTCACTGGTGAAAAGTACTTGGATAGTCTTAAAGGGATTCAGAAACTTGCTCTAAAAGAGGAAGGGGAAGATGCAATAAAAGATATCATAGAAAAGTTTGTCAAGGATCAACACGAGCAACATGAACTGTTGAAGACAGTCGTGTCAGATGTTCAAGAATTAAAGTCTCAAATGATGACATTAAAACGAAATTGAAGACTGGAAGCAACCGCTAGAAAAATTTTTTTTTTACTCATAGAACGTTAGCAGGAGTAGTAAATAATGAATTCTGTTACACTTGGTTGAAGATGTCGGAGATCTGCAATGCACTCGAAAGTTTCATTGGTGAAAATCCTTTGAATAAGTCTTATTATAAATATAATCATAAACTGGATATGAGGAATATGATATTTCATTTATATACAAATTGCTAAGAAACATTTGTTCAAAGATCCCTTAGTCATCAAAAAGAAGGTGATGAGAAGAGCCAGCAGCAGGAGAGGTGACAGTGGGTGACGATATAGAGAGAATTAGGTCAATACAAAATAATTTGACTGCACACGTGAGCTCAGCCTCCACCTTTCAGTGCATAACACTGTGGGCGACAGTGCCGGATATCTGGCCCCGGGATCATGAAGCATCTTAAGCTTAAGTCAAAAAATGTCTTAGATGCAGAAATTTTTTAGAAGTCAAGCAGCCCAAAATGAAAATGCTTTCCGATTTTGTATCATCAGCCTACTGACTTGCATGCAAATTATGAGTTTCCTTTAACAAGTTTTAAAGACTTTATAGATGATTGAAATTTTGACTTAAGTCAAAGTCTGTTTCATGATCCCGGGGTCTGGATTGGAAAATTTCACTGGGAAAAAATACTTTGATACCTTAATACATGTAGCATATATAAACTAACTTTAAAAGATGAAGATGCTCTTTCAGGAACAAAATGATATGTTGAAGAAAGTTATGTCAAATATGCAAAATTTAATGTCAGATTAAAGTTAAGTTAAATGTGACTTCAACTTTAAACAATTTAAAACCATCCTTCGTTAATTGTAAAGAAATATGTTTATCATCATTTCTTTTATGAAAAAAAAAATTAAGAATCAGCAAAGACTTGGGAAGAGCAGTAGTTGCAGTTTTTTTTCAAAAATGCACCCATATCATATTTGATTGATAACCTTCCTTTCATTATTCATTATGTTTTGTATTCCCTTTGCATAACTTTTCTGTTTATAGAGTTTCTCATCTATAGCAGCCTTCAGAATCCCTCGCTAACGTATTTTTTGATAATGATGTATAAGGACTGACGTACCAAAAACGCAATCCACTGGGATTACAATAATCATAGAACATGGTGCTCAAAACATGGAACATATGTGAAAAGCTTAACATTTTATGTGCTTTTTATCCAGCTATTACTAGATATTAAAGAAATTGAAAGGAAGCTATGCAATTAAACTGAGAAAATATGGAAAGAAGGCTTACCAAAATAGAGAACAGATCTACATAACATTTTCAATGAAACATGAGTTTGGCGTCCAACTCTCAGACAAAATTCATTAACAGTGAACCTTGTGTATATATAATTTCTGTGCAGTCGCTATTTTTATGGAATATCACCCGTAGTCAAGGAATGTTACCGTTGCTACGTTGGAGACTTCATCATTAATCGGATAATAGTGCTTTTAACAAATGTATAGCATTAAATCAGAATCAACTAATTTACATGAAAGTATAATGTTATAGAATTGTTAAAATTCAAGAAGGTTTAGAGACAATCAAATAAAATGTCCAAGAAATAGAAAAAATAATCAACCGTAATAAAGGAGCTACAGATGAGGAGCTCGTTGAATATTGTGTAAGATATTAAAGAATTGTATGTTTTACTTAATCTTATAAGAATGGAGAGTGCTGGGGAGTTCATTTTATTAATAAGCTTGTACCTATTTCAGACTAGCTGCATAGTTTAAATTTGTATGAAAGTATCGGACAAGAAGGGAATATTTTCATTCACGATTGCATATTTTTAAAACACAGATTTGCGATCGACCTTTGTTGCTTGTGTTGATATGTGTATTTCAGTTTGCTTTTGTATTGCAAACTTAATATCCAGTGGGATCAAAGTTTTACAAAATGTTATTTGTTTATTTGAATATATTTGTATGTTATATTCTTATTAGTACACAGATTTATGATCCTACTTTGTTGCTTGTGACAATATGTTTACTTTATTTTACTTATGTATTGTGCACTTTATATCCAACATGATTCAACTAATTGACAGAATGTTTTATGAAAGTACAAAAATATACACGAATATATTTACATGCCTCTTTGGGCCCCTACTGAAAACCTTGGGGCTTAAAATGTTGACAAGCTCACTGAAACGACGGTGAATAAGGACAGGGTCACTTTGTTGATCCATCTGTATGTGAATCAGCAATCAAATCAATATACCGAATATTTTTTTTTCAACCTGTTAGACGATTTTTTGGACTAACGGGAATAAAATATTTTTCTAAAATCCCAGATCTTCATATATTCATTAATTATACTTTAAGTGAATTGATACTAGACAAATTTTGACATATTCAATTATTGCATTTTGTATGTCTTTAAATGTATATGTAGGCATATTGAGCAGTGAGGGGTCTTTTTCGTTCTAGCGCCTACTATACCACGGCACTTCGGTTAAAATACGGTCTTATCTAAAGGACTAATCTCATCTGTATGACAAGTCTTTAAAGGGGCATAGACACAGTTCAGCTAAAAAAATATTTAACTAGGGTCTTTCTAATGGTCATAAAAAATTTGAACTTCATTTGTTGAGATACAAGACAGATTTAGAGCTCCAAACTTTGGTTATGTAAACAGACTTCGTGTCATCTTTTGTTTACATAGATTAATATACTAATATATATTCGTTTAAGGTCCTCCACATCATGTGACTTGTGACGTATATAGAGAGATACTTTTACTTCCGGTTTTATAGAATTTATGCCTGAACGATTTGGCCTAGCACCGTTTGTAAATAAAGAACACATGGTATGATAACATTGTGACTTATGGTAAAGGAAGTGTATTTTTTTTTAAATAAAAGGACAACAGACGTCTTGGATTACGTTACATAATAATTCGTAAACAACAGGTACCTATGGGTATCACGAGAAACGTTTAGGTTAATTATACTTTCAGGCTAATCAACCGAGTCTGTTTTGATGGATGAAATTTCAGCACACTGATTTGCGCATTTCAATAATACAATACCTCATTGTGTTCATAAATATTGATAAAATAGTGTGCGTTTCTAGTTTTCCTCTTCTATATTTGTCAAATTCAGACGCCAGTAATTACTAAATATACATAGTATGGTGACGTATGAGGAGACTTGCCAAAGCTTTTGAGACCCTTGCAACAGGAAAGATAACTCCAAAAAGGAACTTTGATACCAAAGATTTGGATTTTTTTTTTTTTTACATCAGTGCATTTTACAATTTTCCGATGTAATGTAATTCATTAATGTTTCTTCTCTACAAAAGGAGTCCTTGTTGATTTTTCTAGAGATGTATTTCAGAGAAAATGAGTTTTATATACTTTTTATATAATATATACATTTCTGTAAAAAGATATGTTGACCGAAAAAATTAAGTTTTTAGCTCACCTGAGCCAAGGCTCAAGTGAGCTTTTCTGATCACATTATGTCCGGCGTCCGTCTGTCTGTCTGTAAACTTTTCACATTTTCGACTTCTTCTCAAGAACCGCTGGGCCAATTTTAACCAAACTTGCACAAAGTATCCTTGGGTGAAGGGGATTCAAGTTTGTTGAAATGAAAGGCTACGCACTCATTAAAGGGGAGATAATTGTGAATTAATGAAAATTTGGTGGCATATTTTAAAAATCTTCTTCTCAAGAACCACTATGCCAGGAAAGATTAAACTTATGGGGAAACATCCTCAGGTAGTGTAGATTCAAGTTTGTTCAAATCATGACCCCCAAGGGTAGGGCAGGGCCAAAATAACCAACCAAAGTTTTACATAGAAATATATAGGAAAATTCTTTGAAAATCTTTTCACAAGAATTACAAAGCCATAATTTATCATATTTTTACGGAATCATGCTCAGGTAATGTAGATTCAAGTTTGTTCATATCATGACCCCCGGGGATAGAGCGGGGCCAAAATGGCCAACCAAGGTTTTACATAAAAAAAATTATAGGAAAATTCTTTAAACATCGTCTTCTCAAGAATGACAAAGCCATAATTCATCATATTTATATGAAAGCATGCTCAGGTAGTTTAGATTTAAGTTTGTTCAAATCATGACCCCCGGGGATAGGGTGGGAACAAAATGGCCGACTAAAGTTTTACATAAAAATTTATATAGGAAAATTCTTTAAACATCTTCTTCTCAAGAATGACAAAGTCATAATTCATCATATTTACATGGAAGCATGCTCAAGTAGTGTAGATTAAAATGTGTTCAAATCATGACCCCAGGGGTATGACTGGGCCAAAATGGCCGACCAAACGTTTAAAGAGAAATATATAGGAAAGGTCTTTAAAAATCATTTTCTAAAAAAAGCAAATTCATGATTGGTCATGGGACTACTTTCGGATTTAAACTTTACAATAAAAAACCATAATATACTTTTTTCCTACCCTTAATGCTCAGGTGAGCGATGTGGCCCACGGGCCTCTTTTTATGATTATTCTATGAGCTTAGAAATATACAAAAGGGTAAGACAAAATTTGTTGTGCTAAGTATGAAAACGCCTTGGGCAAAATTTCTTGAAACTTGTGAATTTTTTATTTTAAAAAGTACGTATAAATTACATATTAACCCCTGGACAGTTTTTAAAGGTTGATATGCTTGTGAAAAATAATGCTCAATAATATGAAAACATAAGCTGTGGGTGTGTGGAGGACCCTTAAAGCAAATAAGTTCAATAAGAAGTTAATTTTAATTAAGGAATAACTGTCTTATTTTTCGACTTCATGAAGTGATCAATCGATTGGCATGCGAAATGATTATCATAAACGCCTTCGGCATTATAGAGGCTGGGTGGTTGTGGCCATTTTTAGACTATTTTGATCTCCTTTAGAAGAAGAGCTCCATATAAAGATATAATAAAATGATCAAATTAAAAAACTGAAATTTATAAAATTTTTCTTTGCCAAATGATAGTTGACAGCATAAGATATCATATCCCCAAATTTAAGTTATAACTGGTTGTTAATTAAAAAAAAAACCCAATTTGTTGACCCCCTAAAACTATCATGCAAGCCGATCGATTGATCATCTTCATGAAATTGAAAAATCTGACAGTTATTCCTTATATTTACATGCTTTGATTCCGCCAATCCACGTGCTCCAAGCCCTGCTGCTGTCTAGCTGTTTGTCCCGCCCTGCACGTGGGTTTTTTGGAACTGCACCAATACATTGATGGAAAAATAAAGTACATTTACATTTGGTTATTTTATCTCGGACAAAAAAGATTGGAAATGTAAATATTTACTATTATAAAGTTTCTAGTGATTTGCTGAATTTCATTTAGTTATAAATACATTTTCTACATATAAACAAAAACAAAGCACGAACCTTGTTTACATTCTCTAG